AACACGGCCGCGCGGGCTCTGGGGCGGGGCGCGCGGCAGTGGCGTGCGGGGAGGACGCGAGGCCCCGTCTGCGTCGCCTCCCCTGCGGGAGGCGGGGGGCGGCCGCCTTTTCCCAGGAGAGGGACTCGCGCCTGGGGGGCCCCCTGCAGGCCGGGCAGGGGCAGGGGCAGGTGCCCCCGGGAGGCGCGTCCCGGAAGAAGCGCCCGATCTAGGGCAGTGACTTCTGAGGGCGGATCAAGCCGCACTCGGGGCGCCCAGGGGACCCGCCCCCGCCCCCGCCCCGCCAGCCCCCAACGCGGAACTCGCACTCACGCCCGACAACGCAGCCAGCACAGCACCTACCGCGCTACCGGGTCGTTAGTCTCGCCCCGCCCCTTCCGGCGAAGGGTCCGCCCCCTGTCACGTGCCCAAGACCGCGCCAGTCATTGGCTCGCCCCGGCCCAGGCGGTGCGCCGAGAAGGTCAGCGAGGTGACGTCCGCATTCACCGCGCGACGCCGTCGCTCTCGCCTTAGCCCCGCCTGTTCCGGTGGAGGACCCGCCTCCTACACGTGCCCCGAGATCGCAGCCAATGGCTCGGCCTGACCCTGGAGACGGGGGCGGGGCCGAAGTCTGCGCGGTGACGTGAGCGCGCTCCCGGCGGGGGCGCGAAGGGGTAGAGCGTCCGCGGGGGACGACGCGCGAGAAAAAGGAGGCGGGAGGGCGCAGCAAGTCTTTAAAGGGGCCGCGCGCGCCTGCACCTGCGCGTACCGGGCTGGCCGGAGGGGTGCGAGCTCGGGGTGCAAGTCGCGGCCGCCAGGAGGCTCGCGGTACCCGGGCCCTGCCCTTGCGACGGGCCGGCCGGGTCAGGCCGGATGGGAGCTGGTGCGCATTTCTCCCAGGGGTGCCAAGGCCACCGCCCCGCGGTGCCCGGAGGATCCGGGATGAGGCTGCCCCTGGGGCGGGGACGCGGACGGGCTCCGTGGGACCGGGTGCGGAGGGGACGGGCCGGGGATTGGGAGCAGCGGCCTGGAGTGGAGGGTCTGCTGTCCGCAGGGAGGGGCGGATGGCCAAGCCCCGCCCACGCAGAGGAGCCGCCTCTGCAGGTGACCACCCTGCCCGGCCCACTGGCCTGGACACCCCCACCCCCACCCCCACCCCCCGTCTCATCTTCCCCAGGACTCCCCTCGCCCTGCCCAGGGGGCCTCCTCCAGTGGGCCTGGGTGACCTGGGGTGCACCCACCCCCAGCCCACACCCCCTCCGCACCCTCATCCTGGGCGGCGGAGGGGTGTGGACGTCCCTGACTTCGCGCTGCCCCAGGTGCAGCCTGGGAGCTGGGGCCCAGGCACCCCAGCCTGGCCATCGCCTGTTCCCCGGGCTCCAGGCCAGCAGCCCAGAGGAGGCCCTGGGGCCGCTCACACCATGCACAGCCAGGCCCTGCACCCTGCCCACACGCGTGCTCGGCACGGGGCCTCGGGGCCTTGGCACAGGCTGGTGCCCTGCCCTTGCCCCATAGGCCAGTGGTCGCCCGCCTCAGCCTTTCCTCCGAGGCCCACTCGGCCCCCAGTGCTTGGGTCTCGGACCTGCCTGGCGTGGTGCCCGGCGTGGTGCCCGGCGTGGTGCCCGGCGTGGCACCAGCACACACAGGTGCCCAAGCAGATGGGTGCTTCTAGGACCTGGGTGGGGAAGGTGGGGGCAGTGCTAAGGACATAGGCCACACGGAAGCGTGGACGTGCCCGTGGACGGCAGCGCTGCTCTGAGTGGCCACAGGTGGGGACACCCAAATGCGCATCGACGGGTGGAGCACAAAACACGTCTCCTGGTCTTAAAACCTCTGCGTACGTGAGCCAGACCAGAGGCCAGACGTGTGGCTGCCCTTGTGTGAACGGTGCACAAAGGCAGGTGCACGCACGCAGAAGGAGACGCGGGCTCCTGGGGCCGGAGGATGGGGCGGCGCCCATGGGCACCGGGTCCCTCGTGGTGACGAAGGTGGCCTGCAGTCCAGGGGCAGTGGTTGCACCGCCTGGTTACGATACTGAGACACCGAGTTGTGCGTTTTGAAAGAGTGGCTCTATGGGGTGTGAACTATACCTCGATGGGGGTTATTAGGAGGAGAAGGGGGTCGGTGCCCGTCACGCCAGCCCCCCCCCCCCCGTGCCCATCCCGGGCCTGTGGTTTCTCCAGTGGCGGCTCCACTCTCCTGAGGAAACCCTCTGTCTTCTCTCCCAGCCTGTTGCCTCTGGCTCCTCTTTTGCACCAAATTCCTAGAGAGAGCTGTTCATTGCCGGAGTCTCCACTGCACCTGCATCCGTCCGTTGCCCGTGGCGCTGGCGTGGCTCAGTCTCCTGCGCACCTGCCTGAGCGACTGCCCTCTGCCCGCCCTCGCCTGGGCTGCAGGTGTCCTCCCTCCAGTCACCCCGACACCCGACAGCCCCTCTCAGAAAGCACTCCGAGGATGAGCCCCACCCCACTGCCACCAGGTCCCAGCCACCGTCCCCTCAGGGGGTCCCCACTTCTGCCCTCGTGCCCCCAGTCCACTCGCCCCGCAGCCACCAGAGTGGCCCTTAAAGCCTGAGGCCACATCACGTGACCCCTTCACCCAAGCACTCGCTCCCATCCCAGAGAAAACAAAACATTTCGCACTGGGCACAGGGCCTCCCTGTCCCCGAAGGCGGGTGTTTGAAATGATAAGATTGATGAGCTTCTGGCCGGACTGATCAACAAGACAAGCAAGCAGAGGCCCCGTGCTGGGGACGTCAGTACAGGTCAGAGAGCTCACCTACTGCGCTCCAGCGCCCAGAAACGTGCAGAATGCCCCGCCCGCCCGGGGCTCTGTCAGGAACGCAAGGGCTAACCATTCAGATCGTCAAGGCAATTCTTCAACAGAATTCGGGAGGAGAACATGGTAATTTCTGGAGGTGAAGAAAAGCAGCTTTGACGCAAGGCGTGGGCTTAGAAAGGTCGAAGGACACAAGATGCACAAAACAAGTCTATGTCCACGTTACCATTGGGGAACAAATTGTAAAGTTAAACTTAACAGTTACGTCTGCGGTAGCGTTAAAGACGGTGACATACTCGGGTGAACAGATATGTGCGCTGGGAACTGTCCAGCGTGGACGACGCGATGAAAGGTCTGAATGTGGGAGACGGTTCTGAGTTCACAGCTGGGAGGGCTTAGTGTCGTCAGGGTTTTTCAGAGCCTGTATGGACTCGGCTGTGCCCCGCGCCCAGGTGGCTGTCTTTGGAGGTGACGAAGGTGAAGTCGGGCCAGAAGGGCGCGGCCCGAGTCCCCCAGGACTGCTACCCAGCATTCTCCCTCCCTCCCAGGAAGAGGGCCTCACCAGGAACCAGCCCGCAGGCACCTTGATCTTGGACGTCTGGCCTCCAGAATTGAGAAAAATGCCTTTCTGTTGTGATGGTCACCTGCACAGACTACAGCCCCACACTAATCTATAGATTCAGCGTAATCCCAATTAAAATCCTAGCTTTTTTATAGACTTTTACTAGAGGCCCGGTGGACAAAATTTGTGCACTCGGTGGGGGGCGGGGGTCCCTTAGCCGGGCCCGCGCCCTCTCACAGCCCAGGAGCCCTTGGGGGATGTCTGACTGACGGCTTAGGCCCGCTCCCCATCAGTTGGACATCCTTAGTGCTGCTGTGGGGTGGGAGAGGCTTCTGCCACCACCACTTCGCTTGCCAGCTGTGAACCTGGCTTCTGGCTGAGCGGCACTCCCCCTGCGGGAGCACACTGACCACCGGGGGGCAGCTCCTGCATTGATCATCTGCCCCCTGGTGGTCAGTGCGCGTTATAGCAACTGGTCGTTCTGCCATTCAGTCGATTTGCATATTAGGCTTTTATTATATAGAATAAGCTGATTCTAAAATTTATGCAAGGAAACTAGAAAAGCCAAAATAACTCTGAAGAAGTAGGAAATAAGTATTGCAAAAGGGACTCACACTCCCTTTCAAGACTGACTTGAGCCCGGCTGGTGTGGCTCAGTGGTTGAGCATCGACCCATGAACCAGGAGCTCAGGATTTGATTCTTGGTCAAGGGCTGTACCTGGGTTGTAGGTTTGATCCCGGCCATCGGAGC